TATAGGTATTTGTTGTGCCTGAAAATGAACAAATAAATGAAATGAAATGAATTTTGTACAGAAAAATAGAATGTGAGTGTTGAGTGTATAAAACAATGAAATAAAAGGAAATAAAAAAGAATAAGAAAATACTTCTTCATTTAAAATCAAATTAACACAAGGGGAAAAGTCACTTACTCAATGCATTTGGTCCCTGCTGTGCCTCTGACTCAGTCCTCATGTCTGGATCAATCATTCCTGATCAATCATGTGTCAACCTAACTTCCTAAATACTCCCACAACGTTGTGGATTTCTCATAGACGCTTTGGGAAAATGAAGCCTATTTTGTTAATCTATGACAGAAAATCCTTAATATAGACAATTGTGTATGGTATGCTCATTGTGATTCGTGGTTGATAAATTGTTAGCCAGTGAGTGCGCAGTTTCGCAGTTGTTTGTTGTCACATCTTTTTTTTTTTTTTTAAACCAACATTGTAATTGTGGAAACATTTATTTTGAGGCTTGAGAACGGACATCAAAAACCTGCGGGTGATGTCACAGAAGCTACGCCAATCTTTAATATCATATATGGGAACAGGTCTCGGTGACTTCATAGCTGGTTATGGCCATATATGGAATAAATACATCTTTAGAACATCAGAAATCAATAATGTGCAATTCAGGTAATGGGAAATTCTTATATTATTTCTCTTTTTCAAAGATTTAGAGTTGTCATGAATTGTTTTAAAGCTAGCAGATATCTAAAGTGCGAATAACTGTAAAAAAAAGAAGATATAACTTTTAGTTTACTCAGTGGTCATTCATTGTCATCGTTGCTGTGAATGAATATCTGCCACTCCTGCTTGCCTGCCACACAGCGATTCATGACAATATCACCCCCACAACATCCAGCCAATCAAGAAAAGCGAATTACTCACTTGGCCAGTAACCAAAGTCATTCACTTCCTGTATGGAAACCACTCTAATATAAGTATTGGGGTAAGGTTGAATCTTTTGCATACATGCTATAGCTGGTCTACTGTATAATTACGATGATTATTATATATACACTTTACTTGTTTTTGTGGCCTACAACGTGTTAAAGGTCTGTTATAGAGATAAGGACCAAACAGCATATGACTCAATACTGGTAAGAAAATGTTGCTATTTCTGTTGTTACTGCATTAGGTTTACACAGGATGTGATCGTTCTTACTGGAATTATAGGTTATCTGTTTGCAATGTGATATATTTAAATTATTCTACTGTTCTTCAGTTTCGTGTAATTATAACCCTGAAGGTAAAAAGTCTTCACACGCTTAGAAGTTTTGTTATGGTATGTTTTGCGCTAAAGTGTTTATTGCG